GCCTGGTTCATTCGACCTTTACTGAAGTACAAACTCAAGGGATCAATGGAACTAGTTCAACTACTCGAATCTATCACCGTTATTACCAGTGGATGACCATTGCCCTCTTCCTCCAGGCGATTGCCTTCTACGTGCCCCACTATATTTGGGGACAATTTGAAGGAGGGCTAGTGGAGAATCTCGTTTCCGGTCTGGAGCAGCCCATTGTCGATCCGGAGCTGAGAACGGCAAAGCTGCACCAGCTGACGGCTTTCTTTGAGCGCACTCGCAAATTGGCCAACAGTAAAGGAATAGGAAGGGGAGTTGACTCACATGGGCGACTTTTCGCCGGCCATCTCCTCTCCGAGGTGCTCAATCTTCTGAACGTACTGGGGCAGATTGTCTTTCTGGATCGTTTTTTGGGTGGGCAGTTCTTTGGCTACGGTTGGCGGGTGGTCACCTCCCAGCAGTGGAAGTTGCCCTTTTCCTCTTCTGCTTTGAGCGACCCAATGCTAGAGGTCTTTCCGAGTGTGGCCAAGTGCGCCATGGACAGTCTAGATCAGAACAATACCTCATCTCACACAGTCTGTTTACTGGCAGAGAACATCCTTGCCGAGAAAATGTACCTTTTTCTCTGGTTCTGGTTGTACGCCCTCCTCCTAGCCACCGTCTGTTCACTGGCCTTCAGCACCGCCTTTCTTCTTCGTCCTTCAGCTCGAAGCACCTTCATCCGTCATCACTGTCGCCTTCTGTCCAGGCATTGTCTCGATGAGGTGCTTTTTGGTGCAGGTGATGGCAATCACAGCAGAAGTTCATCTCTCAATGAAGCCTTTCTGCTGTACCTGCTGGCAAAAAACCTTTCGCCGATTCACTGTCTCGACTTGGTGGCCAGTCTGCAGAAGTTGTCGGTGGACGACTGCACTGGCAGTAAACATCAGCTGCACCAGCAACAGCAGCAGCAGTTTTACTTTCCCGCCAATGTCGAAGAAGAGTGCGAGAAGATCATCACTATTAATAGCGAATAAAGTTAATTACATTTTTAGCAAAATTTTTATTTTAAAAGTACTTTTAATAAAAATTTAGATTAAAAAATCAGCAGCAGTGCACGGCACAAAGCGCGCGAAGCGAGCGGGGCCGGAGGCGGCGGACGTTGACAGCGCCCAAGTCGCGTCAAGCCTCGCTGTTACTCAAGTAATTTTTTTGCTCTAGCTAAAATGTACTGGTGGAACACCCGGTGATCCTAGTATAGCCAGCAAATGGTAACAATAATGAGGGCAATTTCGTCTTAACTCTTTGAACCGATTTGAGCACTTTTACAAAAGAGAACCCATTATATCCAAAAAAGTACCCTAAGAGAAATTGTGTTTCTTCGAAAAATTTCTTTTCAACAGTTTCAGCCGTTTTGGCTAGAGTATGGACAAAAAAGAAGTTTAAATTGAATAATCTAAGGTAGAGTACCAACAGAGAAGCAGACATGGCCGAGTGGTTAAGGCGATTGACTCGAAATCAATTGGGCTCTGCCCGCGTAGGTTCGAGTCCTACTGTCTGATGTCCGGTGATGTTCTGATGTGTACAACAAATCTAGATCACTGGATCAATTAAACAAACAATTGAAATCATAGCAATTAAAAGAAAGTGTTTCATCTTTTACTGTTATTTTTATATAAACGTAGAAAAATCTAGATTTTACAATTATAAAGTGTATTGAATTAAAGTCAAAAGTTTTACAACACTGACAACAGGTTAGATGAAAGTAGCTAAGAGCTGCTAAATCTAGCTAAAATTAACCTAAATCCACGTCGAACCCTGCTGTATGAAGGGGGTAAGGATTAGATATGTTCAAAAACACACCATCAAGACTACCACTACAAAAGATATTAAAAAGAGTGAAAACAAGTCTCCATAGTCAATCGCCCCAAA